CAATAGTTTCAGCTTAAAATAACAATCACGGTTTTTATTATTATTCAAGCTTTTTGCAAAAGTCATAATTAATTTAAATTCAAGTTGCAATTATAATAATCAATATTATTCACGTTATGATTAATTCAAGTTGTAATTGTAAGTATGATGTTCATTATTATTCAAGTTTTTTGCAAAAGTCATAAATAATTCAACTTCAAGTTAAAATTATAATAATCAATATTATTCAAGTTATGATTAATTCAAGTTGTAATTGTAAGTATGATAATCATTATTATTCAAGTTTTTTGCAGAAGTCATAAATAATTCAACTTCAAGTTAAAATTATAATAATCAATATTATTCAAGTTATGATTAATTCAAGCTGTAATTGTAAGTATGATGATCATTATTATTCAAGTTTTTTGCAGAAGTCATAATTAATTCAACTTCAAGTTACAAATGTAATAATGAATATTATTTAAGTCAGAAAATTCAAAAATTCAAAAACTAGAAAACTAGAAAACTAAAAAACTACAAAGCTAGAAAAGTAGAAAGCTAAAAACCTAGAAAACTAAAAATTAGAATAATTAAAAATTTCATAATCAACAAATTAAAAAATTTTAATCTGAAGAAACTTCAGATTTCAAAATCATGAGAATTTAAAATATTTCAATTGAGAAAATATTTCCCAATAATCAACACATATAAAAGACAAAAGAATTCAAATTAAAGTAAAAGAAAAAACATAAAAACCGTTCGGTGCATTTGAAATAAAAAAAGAAAAATTCACAACCCTGCCTCATGCATAAAAAACTTGCACCCTACAGCAAAATCCACATATTCGCCCGGTGTAACGTAATCGAGTTGTTTGTTTTTGCGAACAACAGCAATCTCGAATTTGTGGAGTTTTTAACGGCGGTTGAATATCGTTTATACTGCGAGATAATTGTTTGCCTCGTTTCTTAAGCAAAGTTAGTAAGCGCAATCTTGGATTTATTAACTTTTTCAACGGGTCGACGCTTCCGTAACGTCTTCACGGTTTCTTCATGATCCTCGGCCACGTAATTCATACACCGTGAATAATTCAGTTAATTTGATATTTCAACGACGTTGCTAGCTCTTTAAATTATTAACCGCCCGAAGCTAGCGGCACCAACAACCTCTGTCTGTAGTTCGAACTTTATAAGGAAAGAAAATTTACGTTTTATCCGGGATAAGAAAGTACTGCTGGATATCAACAACATCGTTAATATTGTTCTGTGTTAATGAACCGAGTTTTTTTCCCACGAGATAATTGGAAGTAAGAGTTGAAAGTTTCTTCGCGGTACAAGTTTTGATTTCGATCAAAGTTCCTTTCCTTTTTATTCTGCGAGTTGTTCAGAAACTTTAGAAAAATTATGGTTACAGCTTTTTTTATAAGTATAATTCTTTTGATTGCTTTTCAGGTTAAACATGGTGTTTTTAATTCTACTTGGCAATTATAAATAGTTCATTTTAAAACTGCTACATTACTTTTTATCATAAAATTCATAAAACTTGTTATCATTAAGATAAATATAATTGTGGAAGATGTTGAGAAATCCATGTAAAGCTGTAAAGCTACATTTTGATCACTATAAATATTCAAAATAAGCAGGAATATTATCAACAAAATTCCCACTAAACCATTAATTATAGTCAACTCGTTCGAGCACACTTATTTATCTGAAGAGTCGGCGATCGTCCTCCGTGTACCGATGTCAACCCACGAGTTGGTGCGTGAAGCTCACGTGTTTAGAAGAGCTACAATTGGTCAGAATAGAAAAATGGACGCCCCACACGTATTTTCGGCGGTACAATTGGCTCTCGCGGTCACGCACACCAATTAGGCGAAAAACAATGACAGTCGGCAAACGTCTCTCAAATGAGTGAGATAGTACTACTTGCGCGAAAGCTGTTGTTATTGTCATTATTATTCTTATTTGCCTGTGTGTAACGCAGGAAGTGTTCACGATGGGATAGAGCTTCTGTTACTTTGGGTCGATCACGCGCCAACTCGTGGGTTGACTACGGTACTGTTGCTGTTCTTTAGCCATGCGCCCTTCCTGTATTCACCGAGTTTCTCTCAACAGTCCTCCACCGTTCTTAAATATAATTATTTACTTGGCTTCCATTCTACGTGTCTTTTATTTCACATAACCTTCGACACCTGTAAGAGTGCAGTACGAAGCAATAATCGAATTACACTAGAGCACTTCCTCGAGTCCATGAATGGTAGAATAGCCTTCGTTCTATGATAATAGAATTCGAAAACAACTGTAAAGTTAAGCAAAAAGGATCTTCGGGTCGGAATACTGGTTGTATAGTAAGGAAGCATCCTGTTTTGGTCGAGCTAACGGTTCTCCACTTAGAAAGATTGAATTCCAAACAGCAATCGTGAACGGAAGCGTTTTCGAGTTTCCAAAGCATCCACGACTTTTGCACGAGATTGCTGAATTCGACGACGATTTATCGGTCATGCTGCAACAATAAGTGCAACGGAACAGTTACTGCTATTTCATGTCACGATCATCTTCTTATCGTCGACCGATTGCATGGAACCATCGTCGAATAATGCGACTCAGGAAATGATCTGCCCTTCTAACGAGAAAATGGTTATCGTATAACTGTTATGGAAGTTTTGAAATATTTTGAGAATTGTGGTGATGCGTTGATTGTAATTGGGAACATGAAGGGATATCTGGGAGATGGGACATTTGGGTGTCTTTGGGTTATAGAAACTTTGGAAAGCTGCACGTTTGGAATTTTTGGAAATTTGGGGAATTAGGGAGAGGGAATTTAGCAGAAATTTAGGGACCTAAAGAAGAGATTGGAGAGTATGGGGATTTGAGAGTTTGGGAATTTGGAAATTTGGGAATTTAGGAAAGTGAGGAAAGTGAGGAAAGTGAGGAAAGTGAGGAAAGTGAGGAAAGTGAGGAAAGTGAGGAAAGTGAGGAAAGTGAGGAAAGTGAAGAAATTTAGGGAATTTAGGGAATTTAGGAATATTAGGAATTTTAGGAATTTTAAGAATTTTAGGAATTTTAGGAATTTTAGGAATTTTAGGAATTTTAGGAATTTTAAGAATTTTAGGAATTTTAAGAATTTTAGGAATTTTAGGAATTTTAGGAATTTTAGGAATTTTAGAAATTTTAGAAATTTTAGGAAATTTAAAAACTTGCAATATTTGGATATTCTGGGATATTTTGGGAAGAAAGCTATAATCTAAGAAATCCTGAAGGTCTGAAGAATATCTAAAATGTAGATAATCTAGGGAAATTATAAAATCTCAAAATTCAAAGAATATGGAAGATCTAAAAAGAATCTAAAGATTCCCAAAAAATTCTGGAAAAGTATAGTTAAAGAATTTCGTGAATTTACATATTTCAAAATCGTATAATACAAAAATTTCAGACTCTAAAATATAAAAATTAAATTTCTAGAAATTCTAAAATTTCAAACTAAAATATCAAACTTAAATATATTTCAGTCTAGAAACTTGCAGTATTTAAATTGTTACGTGAAAACCTTGAACCCTTAAGTAAAGCTTAATTCTCCAAATTAACTCAATAAACGTCCTCCATTTAAAGTGTCAATACCGTATAATTACTAAAAAATTAAAAGGACCGAGTTAATCATCAGGAAAGAATTAGTAACCATTTTCGCGCATCAAATTCAATCTCGTTCGTTATCTCCTCGATGAAAATTGAACGAACGTCGAATCGATAGCGGCGCCATTACAGTAAAATAAAAGTAGAAATGTAACATTCGAGTTACACGTGCCTCGATAAAACGTACAGGTGCATGTAACATCGATAAAGGTATTTCTGCTCGAACGGCCACGAAATTCAGAGGAAAATATTTGGGTCGCCATTCATGGAATTTTCTTGATGGAACTTGTATAACGGGTTTAAATGGCGGCCCTATCCGAGAAGAAAGAGCCGACGATGCAGACCGGAAGAAAACGCAACGAAATATACTCGCGGAAAACAGAGGTAACGACGCAAAGCTTTTAGTAACGCAGGAAAACAGTAAACGAGCAAGATAGTCGCAGAACTTACCAGCTAAGTTAAATCAAAACGTATTCGGTCCGTCAAGTTTTTCGTGTTATGTTCTTCCAGAATGTTTTCGCACAGATTTTTGTTATGGGGTAATTACATGACGTGGATTTAACGAAAGTATATTACTTTTCTTTTAATTATTGTCTTTTGCGCATTTATACTGTATTAATACAGATTTTGAAATTTACACATTTTTAAGATTTCGACTTTTTAAATTTTTTTATTTTTTAACCCTTTGCACTCGAAGATACTTTTATTGGTTACAAACAGCAACTTTAAAACTTAGTTAAAAAGTTAAATGAATTCTGTTGAGGTTATTATTTCCCTACTAATAATTTCCACTTTTGTCTGTTTCACTATGTTTATACGTCACATGTGTCACATTATAGAATCAGTTAGAAAATGCTTGTTTCAAATTATTGTATTAAATAAAATGGTGACTGAGAGTCACCTCTCGAGCGCAAAGGGTTAAACTTTCACATTAAATCTTTCAAACCTTCAAGTTATTAAATTATTCAAATTTCAATTTTTTTTTTATTTTATGTCCTGTAAGCTTTGAAATCTTCAAATCATAAAAATTAATTAAATTTAAAATTTTTCAACATTTTAAATATCCAACATCTCAAATCAAATCAGTATCACAGATTGCAATCAAGTCTCATATGTATTCATTCCAAAAGCCATTTATTTAAAAATAAATTAAAAAAAAAGTTTACTCATCAAACTTTTAAAATTTTCAAATATATATAATACAACAAATTACAAGAGTTAACGCTCTTACCGAGTGGCAATATAACAAGAGTCCGTAGTGCAAGCACCATAACTCCAGTAGCACCGTTATTCGAGTTCTAGAAGCACCGTAATAGCGTTTCTTCCCGAAAATTGAGATATGTGACACGGCAGTCGGAAAATCGGGTAAAAGAAAAATTAAGGGAGACTCACTTTGAGAGCGTCCTGCAGGTTCTGCACCCTACAGTGCATGTACACTTTGGCACCGAGTTGCACCGTAACATTGCTTTCTGGATCTTCGAAGAATGGTTTTGGCTCGGGAGTGCCGCTAGTTTCCGTCACAAAACTTTTCACCTCGTATTCCTGCAAGTACAGAAAAAAAATCCATCAGCACTCTTTTACTGCGTCGAACAAACACCATATAAGGACTCTGTGGTGTACACAGGCGGTTAGAGTCAGAGTAGACTAATGAGAATGCACCCTATGCGTGCGGTTGATCGTGTGTAAAACAAATCGTTCGAGCGAAAAGTGTGTCGAGCATCGTTGCAAGATGTTCCATCGTACAGAGGCTGTCCCGTGAATCGTGCTGCAACCAGATCGGTGATTCTGCGTGGAAAAATCAGTCTAAAATGTGGAATACAATTTTTTATCCGAAGCATCGTTTCCGGGAAAATCGAGTTTGAATATTCGTTGAGCACGCGTGCTCAATTAGCCGCGAGCTTTGCGGTTTATGCGATTTGGCTCGTAGCTGTTTGTTTGCGCGCGATATCAAGAGCGTTAATCTTGTGCTGGCCGGGCTGTGTCATTTCTACTAAAGAATTACCGGTACTTTTGAAGCCGTTATAGCGGCAAGATATACCAATCGCGAACACATCGATACGATTCATGCACCAGGAGCTTGCGAGTGCAGTGCTTTTGTTACCGCGGAATATTACAAACAACGGTGCACCGGTCGCCGTCATCTTGACGGTGTAATACAAAAAACAGAACGAACGCTTTTCAACCATGCTTTCGTATCTCGTCGTAATAATCGCGATCGAAATCGATATCGTTGTAACTGAGTCGAAGAAAAATTCTATCTTCGAACCGACTGCATTATTTGCAATCATACACAGAACCACTCGAGTGGATGAACCAGCAGCTTATGGATAATTGTGTGCAGGAACACTTAACGAATATCCAAATCCGATTTTCTCGAAAACCATGTTTTATAAACAAATTTTACTTTACACTTTAGACATTTTTTCATGCAGAATCATGATCCGATTATACTACGATTAATGGATTTGCGGAACAGTCTGTATGTACAATTTTAGTGTGGACAAAAAGCTTCCGCTGCACAGAGAAGAGGAAACAGTATCAATCGATGCTACAGGTGGTTCTCAAACAAATTATTTTTAAACAGTTTTCGTATTGTTGCATTTTATATTTAGGCTTCAATGAACTTGTAAATAGGGAATGATTCTTGTTATGGAAGTAATTTTCACATGCAACGTGCAACGAAAACAATATCAACGATTTTCGGCATAACATTGAACAGTAGCACAATCACCTTTGTAAAATAACGTACAAAAGTTTTGTCCATTCGATGAAATACAAACATCGCTTTGTTTTTCAAAATTGTGTAAAACGATCAATTTTCAGCGGAAACTAAAACTGACAAATTCCAAACAACACTTTTTAAAACCTTTTTTGCGTTACAAAGGTCAATAAAGCTACGCAAAAAGAGTGACAATTTACAGTTGTTTTATATTTTTTTAAAACACCCCTTTGATGTTGTCCAAAAACGATCAGCTCTCAAACAGGCTAAATTGATTGGACTTTTAGTGTCATTTTTAAAAGCAATCAATTTGTTTGTAAATTTTATATATTGGACTTCAAAAAAACAATGCTGTACCTAGTGACGAGAAAAACGACACTGCGTCAGATGCAGCGTTTTAGGTTGCAAATTTTCACTTGCAGACTACGAGTTTTTAAATTGAAATGCTTGGACATCATCGAAACAAAGAATTTTTAAGTTTAAAAGATTTCAAAATTGTAACTTTTTAATTTTAAAAGTTAAACATATTTTGTTATATAAATTTTTAAATTCAGGAATTCAGAAATTTAAAAAATTACAAATAGAATCTAGATTTCGAAATTTGTAGTTGTTAAATGTAAAAGTATCTAAATTTCTATATTGGTAATTCTCAAACTTAAAATCCTTAAGCACACAATTTCTAAATATCTAAACCTGCAATTCCAAAATTTGAAAACTTTTAAACACAAAAATATTCAAATATTAAAACTACAAGGAAATCTAAATATGAAGCTTCCTAATTTACACAATTCTTAAATATAATTCCAGAATTTCTAAATTCTGCATTTAAAGTTCACAAATTCTTGAACTACTAAAGCTAACAGACTATAAACTCAAAATTATAGCTTTCAAAATTATATTTTGAAATACAAATCTCGGAACAAACGCTTTATTCGTTCTGCTCTAGGACTAATACTCCACTAGCGGTACAGACTGAGTGCTTTGCGAATTCGAATGTATATTCAAAATTTCGAGTGCCCACTGCAGACATACAAATAGAACAATAATGAGATTTAGAGATTTTATAGTCGTTCAAAACGATTAAACGAGTGTGAAACTATCGAAAACGATACCGAACACGATTATTGTTGATTTCACAACGACCGACGTCAATGACGACCAAATATCGTCAACGATGAATTGTAGAGTTTTTAACGTGCTTCCAATCAATTCTGTGTAAAAAATTATTGAAAATAATACCGAAGCAAGGTTTTTATCGATTCGACGACGATTGATGTCGGCAGATTCCTATCATCAGATCGCCGTCATAATCTATACAGCAAATTTAGGGTTGCCTCACGAGTCTACCCTCAAAATTTCAAGTGAAAAGTTCCAAAATTGCCTGTAGCGTACAGACAAACGAACAAATCCAAGGAGCCTCCATCTGGCAATAATTTATAGCAGAAGTTTCGTTCAAGTTATTTTTAAATTTATATCGTTAAACCTACACAATTTCTCTTCAATATGGTAAACAGAAGATGTGTTTTTATTTGCAAAATCCGAGGTGACACCAATTTTACTGTGAAAACAAACTGTTTTTGAATTACTTGTTTTATTGATGCGTTGTACACTCTATACCCTGAAACTTTTGTTCTAAACTTTTTTTTATCAGATAGATATAAATGGATAAAATATCATGCATCATATTAGTGGTAATCCTATGGTATAAGTAATAATATGGTCAGTGACATTAGTCCGAATATTATAAATTTTTTAAATATGTTACGAACAATGAAGTATTTGATATTGTTTATGAGAATGTCTGATGAATTTACTCTCAAGATTTCCAGTGAAAAGACACAAAATTGATTGTAGCGTCGTATAGATGAATGTATAAATTGTTACAGGAACCTCACCAGGTTCGGCAAATGAATACTATATTTGTAGTATAAAATATTACTGTGATGATAATATTGCACATGCAGGAATGTACTAATAGTAATACTGAAGATATAGTTATGCTATAATGGTAATACTATAAATATAGTACCGCCATAATACTAATGTACGGATGTCAACCCACGAGTTGGCGCGTGAGGCTGACGTGTTTAAAAGAGCTACGATTGGTCAGAATAGAAAAATGGACACCTCACACGTATTTTCGACGGTACAATTGGCTGTCGCGGTCACGCAATTAGGCGAAAAACAATGACAGTCGGCAAACGTCTCAAGTGAGTGAGATAGTACTTGCGCGAAAGCAGTTGCCATTATCATTATTATTCTTATTTGCCTGTATGTAACGCAGGAAGTGTTCACGATGGAATAAAGCTTCTATTACTTTGGGTCAATGACGCGCCAACTCGTGTGTTGACATCTGTACGTTAACGTTATAGTAATACTAAGAGATTCCACAAAAAACTCGTCCTTCGTAACAAATACGTCGCAAAATGTCCGTCTTTAAAAATCAAAGTAAAATCTACTGCGGCGTCTTTTCGAAAAGGCACTTAAACTGCTCGTTTCAATTATACAGCCGACTTACCTCGGTAAAAGGCGAACTGAGCTCATGCCAGAGCGATCTGGGCAGGTTTTCCAGTCCAGGAAACGGCTTAGCACCTGAAACAATTTCAAAATCAGATTATACGTGTCCTAGCCAAAGCTCTATTACATAGATACGACGACATAATTAAAGTTGCCAGTAAATTTACTACCGCCCTGCTTTCTCATACCATTCGAGTTATAATTAATGCACGATACTCTTACTTGTTCCAATGAATAGAATCATGGAGGCTTGATTAATTGAGCCACGTTTTATTATTCGAGTGCTGCGACTTCTATTGGATAATGAATGCTTTAACGAAGAAGTGAAGATACCTATGTTCAGTTTAATTAAATTTTACTGGAACTATGTCAGTTTTTAATTAATGTCAACGTTGTAATATTTCTTCCCTTTGTGATGACTTTTTTTCGGCTACGGTTTGCCGGAGTAAATTTAATTGGTAAGGTTGGAAAATGGCGGATAGCGATGGTAGCGTCTGTTATTACAAAGTGATATTTCTGGACTGTGAAATTAGTGTTTGTTGTAGTGATGTGTAGAGATGATTGTGGATGAGGTATGTGAAGATTTCTAGTTTTTAGTTGAAGAATTTTTGGAGATGAGAATTTGAATTTAGGGAATTAGGAAGTGAGGATTTAGGAAATTAGAAGACCTTGAAATTCCAGGGTCCCAAATTTGCAACAACCCAAAATTCTAAGGTCCCAAATTTCCAAACCACAAAAATTCCATGATCCCAAATTTGCAACACTTCAAAATTCTAAGGTCCCAAATTTCCAACACCTCGAATTTCCACGATCCCAAATTTGCAACTACCCAAAATTCCATGATCTCAAATTCCCAACACCCCAAAATCCTATAATCCCAAATTTGCAACGCCCCAAAATTCCATGATCCCAAATTTGCAACTCCCGAAAATTCCATGATCTCAAATTCCCAACACCCCAAAATCCCATAATCCCGAATTTGCAACTCCCGAAAATTCCATGATCTCAAATTCCCAACACCCCAAGATCTCATAATCCCAAATTTGCAACGCCCCAAAATTCCGTGATCCCAAATTTGCAACTCCCCCAAATTCTAAGCTCTCAAATTGCTAACCCTCCAAAATCCCATGATCCCAAATTTGCTACGCTTCAAAATTCCATGATCCCAAATTTGCAACTCCCCCAAATTCTAAGCTCTCAAATTCCTAACCCTCCAAAATCCCATGATCCCAAATTTGCAACGTCCCAAAATTCCATGATCCCAAATTTGCAACTCCCCCAAATTCTAAGCTCTGAAATTCCTAACCCTCCAAAATCCCATGATCCCAAATTTGCTACGCTTCAAAATTCCATGATCCCAAATTTGCAACACCCCAAAATTCTAAGGTCTCCAATTCCCAACACCCCAAAATTCCATGCCCCCAAATTTGCAATGCCCCAAAATCCTAAGATCCCAAATTTCCAACACCCCAAAGTCCCAACATTCCCTAATCCTAAGATCCAAAACTTGCAAAGATCCCAAAATTGCAACGCCCTAAAGTCCCATAGACTTAAACTTGCGAAAGTCCCAAAATCACAATGCCAAATTCCCCAACCCCCAAAATTCCCAACGTCTCCTTCCATCCCTCCAAGTCAACATGAAAATCCAGTCCATGCAAACAGTGCCACAAACTTCCTTGCCTACCTAAATTTCTCTTTCGGAAGCGTTAAACTCATCGTTTGCCTTCATCATCTCGAAACGAATACAAACGACAATAACGCGAAGGAACAATAACAAAACACCGCGATAAGAATGATGACAAAAGTTCTGAGATGACACTGTCATGAATTACGTAGCGAAGTCCGTACGAACGTGACTTTATCTCCGCTCGTTCTGATCCGGGAAACAAAAATGTTAGCGGAGAAGGCAAACACGGCTAGCTGCAACCACGTCGTTAGCGTAACAGACGCAGAAAATCGAATTACTATGGAAACAATCGCGAACTTGGCGAACGAGTGTACTGCAGTGGAAAAGTTTTTCACTTTCCAGCGAGTAGAAGGGAAACTCTACTCGCCGCCTGTCGACGGATAGAATGGCCTTATCAGCAGCGAGCACACGCGACTCTGCTTCGAGTTTCCAAGACGATGCACATAAATGTATTCTCCTCGCAAGGTTACACAACCGACCAGATACGAGGCCAAGTAACAGCGCACTTTTGTTCAAATAAACGTTTCGATATGGGAATCGAAAAAATCATACGATTGACAGCAGTCGATATTCGCTGTGTGCAATTATCGAGACATTCGTCATGTCGGAATTTGTCTACCTTCGAGAGGATTATACTGGATGATTCAAAAATATCTTTTATTAAGATCTTGTGTGCTGAACTTCGAATTATTGGGATATTGACCATTGAATTATCGACCACTATAAATTTTCACAATTTTACACATTTTCCGTAAAATTAAAAATTAAAAGGAAAAAGTTCAAATTGCAATTATATAATTTATTAGCTACCATGATACACTACTACTGTACATAACATTATTAACACATGTTAATATCTTGTATTTCCACCCTTTGCTTTGGTCAACGCTTCCGGCATCTGTATACATCATATGCTTATTATCTTCGTTATTTTCCCAAATATCTGTAATTCTTTTCAACTCAGATAATGTGGTTGGAGAGTTGTAAACTAGTCTTTTGAGTAGGCAGACATTTTCTATGGCATTCAAATTTCACCTCTAGCGCTATACTCGAGCCTAACATAAACGCACGGCCCTTAATCGCTCATCACCCACACAATTTATTATCATGATAGTAACAAATTGCTATGTATATAGTGATCGACGTATTTAGTAATTTTGCATGACCCAAGACATTTTTCCATATATGACCATGTTATAGCCATAAAAGTGAAATTTTCGTGGGTGGTCCTAATTTGATGGCCAGGGACAGTAGATTACATTCAAGGTTCAGTCCAGGTTCAGTTAGGTTTACGCTAGGTTCTATTCAAGGTTAGGTTTATATTACATTCAAGGACTAGGTGACATTAAAGGTTTGGTCTGTGTTAGATTCGAGGTTAGGTCCAGATTGCATTTTAAGGTTAGGTCTAAGCTGCATTCAGGTATAGGTCTAGATTACATTCAAGGTTAAGTGTATGCTAAATTAGAGATTCGATGTAAATTACGATCAAGATTAGATGTAGGTTGGGTTCAAAGTGAAGTGTAGTCTAAATTCAGGATCTGGTGAAATCACATTAAGCTTAACTTTAAATTAGAACTTCCAAGTTCCAAAATACCAAAGTTCCAAGAGTACATGAATCCAAAAGTTCTAAAACTACCCAAATCATAAAATTTCAAACTTATAAAACTCCGAAACTCCAAAATTCTACAATACAAAACGTTAAAACACCAAAATACCAAAACACCACTATTTCTAAATTCCAAAACTCCAATAGCCTCAAATGATAGAAATTTAAAAATTTGCAACACCCTAAAATTCTAAGATTCCAAATTTTGAACACCCCAAAACCCTATAGTCCCAAATTCCCAACACCACAAAATCCCATGATCCCAAGTTTGCTACGCTCTTAAATTCCATGATCCCAAATTTGCAACATCCCAAAATTCGAAGGTCTTCAATTCTCAAAACTCCAAAATTCGATGACCCCACATTTGCAACGCCCCAAACTCTCAGGATCCCAAATTTGCACCACCTCAAAATTCTAAGCTCTCAAATTCCCAACACCCCAAAATCCCATGATCCCAAATTTGCTACGCTCCGAAATTCCATGATCCCAAATTTGCAACTCCGCCAAATTCTAAGCTCTCAAATTCCTAACCCTCCAAAACCCCATGATCCCAAATTTGCAACGTCCCAAAATTCCATGATCCCAAATTTGCAACGCCCCAAAATTCTAAGCTCTCCAATTCCCAAAACTTCAAAATTCCATTACCCCAAATTTGCTACGCTCTGAAATTCCATGATCCCAAATTTGCAACGCCCCAAATTCTCAGGATCCCAAATTTGCACCACCTCAAAATTCTAAGCTCTCAAATTCCCAACACCCCAAAATCCCATGATCCCAAATTTGCTACGCTCCGAAATTCCATGATCCCAAATTTGCAACGCCCCAAATTCTCAGGATCCCAAATTTGCACCACCTCAAAATTCTAAGCTCTCAAATTCCCAACACCCCAAAATCCCATGATCCCAAATTTGCTACGTTCCGAAATTCCATGATCCCAAACTTGCACCACCCCAAAATTCTAAGCTCTCAAATTCTTAACACCCCAAAATCCCATGATCCCAAATTTGCTACGCTCCGAAATTCCATGATCCCAAATTTGCAACTCCGCCAAATTCTAAGCTCTCAAATTCCTAACCCTCCAAAACCCCATGATCCCAAATTTGCAACGTCCCAAAATTCCAAATTTGCAACGCCCCAAACTCTCAGGATCCCAAATTTGCACCACCCCAAAATTCTAAGCTCTCAAATTCCCAACACCCCAAAATCCCATGATCCCAAATTTGCTACGTTCCGAAATTCCATGATCCCAAACTTGCACCACCCCAAAATTCTAACCACCCCAAAATTCTAAGCTCTGCAATTCCCAAAACTTCAAAATTCCATTACCCCAAATTTGCAACGCCCCAAAATTCGAAGGTCTCCAATTCTCAAAATTCCAAAATTCCATGATCTTACATTTGCAACGCCCCAAACTCTCAGGATCCCAAATTTGCAACACCCCAAAATTCGAAGGTCTCCAATTCCCAAAACTTCAAAATTCCATGACCCCAAATTTGTAACGCCACAAACTCTCATGATCCCAATTTTGCACCACCCCAAAATTCTAAGCTCTCAAATTCCCAACACCCAAAAATCCCATAAGTCCAAATTTGCAAATCCCCAAAATCCTATAACCCCAAATTACCTAAGAACCTAAAAATCCCTCCACACAGAAATTCAATAATTCCAAAACCCCTAACTCCAAAAATTCCAAAAGCTCCAACCCTCTAAACGTTCCAAAAGCGCACAACGTTGAAAGAACGTCCAGAATTTCGACAATCCCTCGTCTAATCGTTCTTTCACCAGGATTCAATTTAGCCGAGGAACACGCGGTGCGGGTTAATTCAATCACCTTTAGCTCGCAGCTGCGTGCTCCTCTGGTTTGGTTCACGGTGATGACGCGTCTACTCGTGCATATATCGATACAATTCTTGCATAAATCCCACGGCGATCGCGCATACCGTTCGCCACAGACGAAATTGAAACACGTGCGTGCTCTTCCATTTGTATTCCAGCCAGGAGAAACTCGCCTCGATTTGTTAATTTAACCGCCACGGTTTAATGCGTTCACTCGTACACGACTGAATTTAATGAAACGCGGAAAAAGCTCCGTTAAAGGCCTCTCAAACACGAAATCAATTATCCTTTCAAATGATAAACAAACACTTTTTCAATTTCATATTTCTGCTCTTTTTAATTTTTGACCTTTTAGATTGTTTCTGATGTGTAATATTTTTCTGGTAATTTTACGAGTTTTTAGGTTATTTCGTTTTTGATATACAATATTTGTTGGTTTTAATTTTATGAATTTTTAGGTTACTTCGTTTTCTGATATACAATATTTGTTCCTTTTAATTTTACGAGTTTTTAGGTTACTTCGTTTTCTAATATACAATATTTGTTCCTTTTAATTTTACGAATTTTTAGGTTATTTCATTTTTGATATACAATATTTGTTGCTTTTAATTTTATGAATTTTTAGGCTACTTCGCTTTCTAATATACAATATTTGTTTCTTTTAATTTTACGCGTTTTTAGGTTATTTGGTTTTCTGATATACAATATTTGTTCCTTTTAATTTTACAAGTTTTTAGGTTATTTCATTTTTGATATACAATATTTGTTGCTTTTAATTTTATGAATTTTTAGGTTACTTCGTTTTCTAATGTACAATATTTGTTCCTTTTAATTTTACGAATTTTTAGGTTACTTCGCTTTCTAATATACAATATTTGTTTCTTTTAATTTTACGAATTTTTAGGTTATTTCGTTTTTGATATACAATATTTGTTGCTTTTAATTTTATGAATTTTTAGGTTACTTCGTTTTCTAATATACAATATTTGTTGCTTTTAATTTTACGAATTTTTAGGTTATTTCGTTTTTGATATACAATATTTGTTGCTTTTAATTTTATGAATTTTTAGGTTACTTCGTTTTCTAATATACAATATTTGTTCCTTTTTTCACATTTATGAATTTTTAGGTTGCTTTATTTACTGATGCATTTTCTATCTACAAATATATTCATAATTTGCAAGCTCCAATTTTATGAACGTGTAAATTATCAAGTTTTTAAATTTCGAAATTAAATCTTCACATTGGAAAATTGTTTAAAAATGAAGTAACACGAAAGAATTGTATTGTATATTTCTTTGTTAATTTTTCATGTAAAATCTTTTCAGTTGTACCATTTCAAAAACATCGTATATAGTTCACGATCAATTTTTCCTGTGGAAGTCCCTCATTTCCGATGCATATTTCAGGAAGTAAAATGCAGCGAAACCGTCGCAAACAATCAAAGGTGTAAACCTCGGTCGGCACCTAACGTACGATCGAGCCGGAAGGAGTAATAAAGTCAGTTTCCATCGTGTCTGCTCCTTTGAGTCGGAACCGTGGAAACGGAGCAATTTCGTGGGTTATAAAGGCACGGTGAAAGAGACACAGGCCAAACCGCAGAGAATAAAACGGAGAAAAGTAGAATTCGAAAGAGCCACACCAGAAGTAGGAGGAGTAGAAGGGTGAGCAATATCTTTTCCATCGAATTCGCCGGTTCTTCCGGTCCCGTTCTTCCGAAACGACTTAGAACACGAACGACGAGTACTTTTCATTTTCCCAAAGAATCCTTATTTTAGCCGCTTAACGCGTCTGAAAATGATTTTTCTCGGCTGATCGTTCGGTGTACCTCTGATTCTTAGATTTCGGACCCTTTCAATCTCCGTCGGTTTTCCTTTTGCTTTCGGCTCCTAACTATTTCTCGAAGAACGACGGGATAATCCCGAAGAAATTTATCAGCTCCGAGTACTGGACCTATTTCGTCCTTTTCCGGCAGGACCAATCTCGCGAACTGAATTCTCACGGCGCCGCACAACGGAAGAAGGAAGGAAGGAAGGAAGTTCTAATATCCGCTAGAAAAGACGAAGCACATAATCTCTACGAAAGGATAAACCCGGTTACCGGTCAGGATTTCGAAATACGTCTTGGGAATGTCGCCCACGGGATTACTAGACGCTTCCAAATGAAGCGCGAGCAGAACGAGAGATTTAAACGAAATTGTTTCGGAATGAGCAATTGCAGACGGTTTAGAAAGAATATTGCGCGATTTCGATGATTTACGTTGTAATTCTTTCGAGTTGCGCTCAAACGATTACTTATATTATGAACACTCGCAGATTTCAACCATTATAAAAGTATTTTATGACTTTTTACAAAACATCAAAAATATACTATTGACAAGATGTACACTTTTCATGGGAATAAACTTTCGATGCCACATTGGTTAAATATTAAAACATGCGAAAGTATATTTACTAATGAACATCTAACCTAACCTCTTAAGAATGACGCATCACTATAGCGGCTTTCACGGATAATCAGTACAACGGTCCACTATAGTGGCTTTCGCGAATGTCGTAGATTACATAGCGCCATAATGGCTCTTAACGTGCATCAAAAATTATTCAACTTGTTCTTGGAGACCCTAGTCTCTTTTATTCTTTCTTCATTCTAATATCGTGTGATCGACTTCACAATTGGTCGATCAAAATTCGACAGCGATCATCTGCTTTCTCATGTCAAGATTCTGCCGTTTAACATAGTTACATCAATATTCACAGTACTGTATTCATAGTACTGCGTTTGTTTATGCGTAAAATTTAACCTCTTAGGCACAGCGCCACTATAGTGGCTTTCACGAATCATCTCTCTGTACGACGGTCCACTATAGTGGCTTTCGAATGTCGTAGATTACATAGCGCCATGGCTCACTCTACTGACTCGTTCACCGTTTCAATTGAATGATCCTTTTCATATGTTTTGATTCGCACCTTTTTGCCTTCACCACGTTTTATAAGAGTATTAACAAATCCACAAAAGTACATTACATGTAAATAAAAGGTAACGGCAAGTTTAGGCACCTCTTTGCACTAACACACGATATTAGAAACATTTGAAAATTACATATCTTGTAAATTTTCTAAAAAAGTAAATTATCAAAGTCAAATTATGAAGTCTTTGCAAAAAATTATAAATAACAAATGAGGTTTTGTATTTAGTTATTGGAAGCTTATATGATTAATTAAGGTTATTGGTATTAATTAAATATAGAGTTCGTTTGTGAATTAGAAATTATAGGTTATTTGAAGGAACTTAAATGAGGTTTTGTATTTAAAGTTCCTTCAAATAACCCACAATTTCTAATTCAGAAAAGAACTGTATATTTAATCAATACCAGTAACCTTCAAGCAACCTTAATCAATCATATAAGCTTCCAATTTCGAAAAAACGCAAAGATAATTCAGTACACAAAAAGTGTTGGATTGAAAAGCAGTCTGGATTGGTGAATGCGGATTGTCGCTCAATACAGCGTCGAATTTATGGATCCTGTCCATGGCCATAGGATTTATGGGAATCCAATGCCTTAATTGGAAAATTATAGGACAATGTCTGGAAACCGATCGTTCGACCTACGCCTCGTTATTCAAAGGGTATAATCTGCCACCTCTCTGATAACCGACTTCGACTTTCACAACCGCACCTCAATATTTTCGACAAGGACTAACCAGACCTATCGTTCGTCCAAAAAATTCATCACTTTCTAATCGAATTACTTTTTTTACTGAAAGGATATAATGTATGGTTTTGTTTAAGCGCGTGGGAGGACTGTTTCGATGATTTGTTAGGTTAGAGTTATTCAAAGTTTAAATGAGAATTCCAAATAATTTTTGAAATAGGAGAATTAATAGACAGTTAAATAATCAATTTCAATAGAGAATTAGAGAATTTGAAATAGTTTCAATAGAGAATTAAGTTATTACTTTTTAAGTTATACTAGAATTGAATGATAAATATTAAAGTCATAGTAAATATGATTTAATCGTGCTATACTATTATACTAGAATTAAATAATAAATAGTAATGTCATTATACTGGAATTAAATAATAAATACTATATTTTGTATACCAAGATTTAATAACAAATACTAGAATTATTTATACTAGAATTAAATAATAAATACTAGAATTTGTATATTAGAATTAAATTAAAAATACCAGAATTGTTATATTAGAATTACTGAATACCAGAATTATAATAATAAATTGTAAAGCGTTTAATAAAAAAAGTTAAAAGTAAGATAAATAGAAAATGATTATCTGCTCACCTAATGAAGTGGCCGCCCATAAAACGTGTAGTTGGTGAACCAAAATGGAGGCCACCACGGCCGAAAAACGACTCAACATCGTTGCCGATTCTCAGCTCATTTCTGTTTCGAAATTTTGAGCACGGCACCTCTAATCCCCTTTTGAATGATCTGAAATTCAAAAAGAGTAACTATTAATACAAATTAACATAGCAACTCTTAATATAAATTGTTTCATAAAACAGTATATTCGTTTCATAAGAAATACAATCCGTGTAACAATAATTAATTTAAATCAAAAGTTTCTTGTTTGCCTTCCAACTGCACCGAACTTCACTTTATATTACAAAATGTTATAATAAATTACAACTGTAATAATTAATAATTCACATATACATATATTGAGAAAAAAAATGAATACTAATCGATCAAAGAAAAGAAAGACGAAATGTATGTTTAATGACAACGTACAACAGCGTAAATTGATATCTGAAATTGAATCTTATCGCATGATAATTAAAGATAAAGCAGTGGACAAGACGAATGCGGTCGTTAATTATAGCCGGTTTCCCTACTGCACAATGTCAAACGATCCTCGCAAGCCTACGGAAATCCCTGTGGACTTCGAAATAACACCTCCGGTTGCCTCGGGCTGACCCAATCGGGTTCACGGAGACACAAAGCCTCCCTAGGCAGAGATCAATGCTTTACTACAACGATTCTCCATGTGTATGTGTCCCAGAAAAACGGTCGACTACTTTCGTTTCGGATTTGCACTTCTTTAGGCAGACAATCCATGTATTGTATAACGCGTACTTCGTAGTGCACCGTGATGCCGGTAACTAACCATGTTGTATTAAGAATTTTAACAAACCGTTTATATAGTCTTTTTTGTTATTCTTCAAGCTTTAATTTGATATATTATATGCGTGGTTTCGTTATAGTTTTCTGTCATGAAATAGTATGAGAGTGGAGGAAGTTTTTTTAGGAGCAACTCATAGGTCATATCGCTTATTGTAGGTAATAATAAGGCATTTTATATTACGAATTTTAATGAAGCGTTATACAGTCCTTTTTATTATTCTTCAAGCTTTAATTTGATATATTACATGTATAGTTTCGTAATACTTTTCTGTCATTAAATAATATGAGACTGGAGGGAGTCTTTTTGAAAGCAACTCATAGGTCACATCACTTATTCTGGATAATAATCGGGCATTTTGTTTTAAGAATTTTAACGAAACATTTATACAGTCACTTTTAATAGTCTTCAAGCTTTAATTTGATATATTACAAGTGATGTTTCGTAATACTTTTCTGTCATGAAATAAGAATCTAATGAAGAATATTTCATTGTTTATATGCTTCTTGAAATCAACGATCAGCCATTTTATATTAGAAATTTTAACAAAACCTTCAATATACCCCTTTTTATTAATCTTTAAACATAACTTGATATTGAATAAGCGCAATTTAATAATAATATTATGTTTTCAAGCTGTACCAAATATTGGAGATAATAGTAGAGTACGTCTCAGTACTCGTATTGTACCTTGAGGCTATTAACACACCATTTTGTACTAATAATTTTAACATTGCATTTATGAAGTCTTTATTAACGTTCAAACTGTAATTTAATATATAATAAGTTCAATTTCATGAGACCGTTATGCCATGATTCTGTACCAAATGTTAGATCATACTAGAGTGCATCTCAGTGTTTGTACTGTACCTTGAGGCCAGTAATTAGCCATGTTACATTAAAAATGTCAACAAAACGCTTACGTAGTCTTAATCAGGGAACCTTAAGCTGCTCTTTGATGCATTACAAGTGTCATTTCTCATAACTTTTATGTCATGAAATTTTGAAAGCTTATGTAGCTAACACTTTCCAGCCTATATCATGTATTTGTAGAAATACCTCCATATCTATGAAACGTATCCATATAATTACACCAAAAAAGTGTTCTCGGAAGTTAAAAACAAACGTTCGCCAATAGTTTATCAAGAAATCGTCGGTAACGACCAATTTAGCGAAGTCGAAGAGAAGAATTGGTGACAAGAACGTGCTCGTCAACGGGACAAAGAGAGTTCCCAAGAGGTAAACCACTTCGAACGACGTATGTAGACTCAAAGGCCACGGTAAATCAGACGGTCTGGTCGAAGTCAAATAGAAGATTGTTACCACGAAATTCCACGTGATTCAATTTGACCGGAAGTTCGACCGAAAACACGATTCTCCGTCAAGTTGCCGGGTGCCGTCCTAATGAATCTATCGGCAACTCTTGAACTCCAAATCCCCTTCGCCCCTCCATGACCCTTTCATCGACTCCGTCACCCTTCGTATCCCAATCTTCATGTCCCCTAACAGCCCCCGCTTTTCCACCTGTGAGTCAGGTACCAGCAATTTCTCGCATCCTACAGCTGTCGTTTCTCCTTAGACTTTCCAAATTATTTCAGTGTCTCACGCAGGTGTTGCTGCCGCACAATGGCTGACAGTTGCGACGAAAAACTTTCTGTTTTCGTGCACCACGCGAAATTTCAAACAACCGGGAGGCTGTGCAACGTGAGGGAAACAAAAAGTTGATGATCGAACTTTAGACCGTGTTTTGTAACTACGATGGAACTTACGGAACGGATATTTGTAGCGAGAAGGGTAATTGGTAAACGTGATTGGGAGGGGTAAGGGTAAGTATGTATTCATGGACAGTAATGGAGATTTGGATATGGAATTTGAAATTTTGGGGTTTCTTGAATTGTATATTGAGGAGTTTAGGGATTTCAAAGTTAGTGCGTTTTTAGAGGTTTTATTTTATGGTTACTTAGTAGGTAAATTTTTTCACTTTTGAGTTAGTATATTTATGAATTCCTCAATTTCCTAGTTACTATATTTGCAGATTTTTATATTTCTCAAGTTTATCAAATTCAGCAAGTTACTCACATTACTCAAATTACTGAAATTCCTCAAATTCTGCAAGTTACTCATATTACTCACATTACTCAAATTGCTCGAATTTTTCAAATTCTGCAAGTAACTCACATTACTTACACTACTCAAATTATTCAGATGTCTCAAATTCCGCAAATTCCGCAAATTTCTCAAATTACTCAAATTACTCAAATTACTCAAATTACACAGATTACTCAAATTACTCAAATTACACAGATTACGCAAATTACTCAAATTACACAGATTACTCAAATTACACAGATTACGCAAATTACTCAAGTTACTCAAATTACTCAAATTACTCAAATTACTCAAGCCACTCAAATTACTTAAATTATTTAAATTTTCAAAACTTCTACATACTCTCCAATTTCCATGATCTGAAACTCTCAAATTCTCAAATCCCCAAATTCCCCAATTCCGAATTTCTCTAACTCTCTAATTCTCTAATTCCCTAATTCCCTAATTTCCTAATTTCCTAATACCCCAATACCCTAATTCCCTAATTCCCTAATTTCCTATTTCCCTAATTCCCTAATTCCCTAATTCCCTAATTCCCTAATTTCCTAATTCCTTAATTTCCTATTTCCCTAGTTCCCTAATTCCCTATTTCCCTAATACTCCAATTCCTTAATTCTCTAATTACCTAATTACCTAATTACCTAGTTCCCTAATTCCCTATTTCCCTAATACCCCAATTCCTTAATTCTCTAATTACCTAATTACCTAATTACCTAGTTCCCTAATTTTCTAATTCTCTAATTCTCTAATTCTCTAATTCCCTAAGTCCCTAATTTCCCAATTCCTAAACTCTCTAATTTCCTAATTCCCAAATTCCCAAATCTCCAAATCTCCAAATCCCAAAATCTGAAAATCCCCAAATCCCAAAATCCCAAATTCTCAAATTCCCATATTCCCAAATTCCCTAATTCCCAAAATCCTTAACTCCCAATATCCCGAATTCCCAAACCTTCGAAACACCCCAAACCCTAAACTCCCAAATCTGAAATTCCTTAATTACAAAACTAATTTCCAATAATCTCCCCCGCTGACTCCTGCACTCGCAGCATGAAAATCCGTAAACCGCTGGCGGTCACCGATCGACCGCCATATTCTCCTTACGTTCCTCCTCCGTCTGTTGAACCTCAACACTCAAACTGTCCGAAGGTTTTTCCGGAACATCATCTTGGAGTGTCAAATCGATCGATTTTGTCGGTAGGTTTCCTGGCAATTGTAGTTTCGACCAATGTTTGCTCAATAAACCTCTGTGGACTCGACAAACTAACCGCTATTAGCCGCGGGCTCTCGAGCTGGAAGTTATTAATTGCATTGGTAGCACGGGTGCCCCCGTGTAAACCATTGGGCACACGAGGAATTAGGGTGTTCCTAGTGAAACGCTGAATAACTGAATCGTGCCACTTGCGCACGTCCCGTACTTTGACGACGTATTACCGTCCGTTCGTTTCCGGTTATTAAATTTCCCGTGCATCGGGTATCGGCCGGACAACATGGAGGCACGATCGCCATTAATGGCACGTGATATCCGATACGATTATTATTAATCGTTAACGTTACATCTGCCGCCGGCACGATACCCTTTCGTTTGTCGGAATAAATAGAGATGCTCGTTGAAGGATTGTTAACTATACCGAGTGCGCGATAAATGAGATAAATTATAATTTGCGTGCGCTTGATCGCGTATCAGCGTCGCGTTTCATCGCTGCCGTTGTCCGTTCTAATTATCTTAATTGCTTCGTCACGTTACATACTTGCTGCCGGATTTAATAAGTTGATTTAGAATTTGTCAATTTTGCTTAATTGCTGCGATATTCATTTTTACGGGAATTTTCGTTTATGTTTTTTCGGTTATTCGTTACTTGATGCCGGCTTCAATCGGTTGATTTAAAATTTGTCAATTCTACTTCATTCAAGGGATATCACGTTTTACGGAAACTTTCATTTGTTTTTCTTGTTATTCGCATTCCTTGATGCCAGCTTCAATCAGCTGATTTATAATTTGACGCCTCCATGATGCCGGTTTTATTACACTGACTCAAAATTTGTTAATTCTGCCTCATTCCTAGGGTGTCACTCTTTACGAAAACTTTCAATTGCTTCTTTTCTTATTCGTGTTTCTTAACGCTGGCCTCAATCGGCTGATTTAAAATGTGACGATTCTATGATGCCGGCTTTATTACACTGATTCAAAATTTGTT